TTAGCAAACATTCAGAATATTACCGAAGTCTTATTGAAATTGGAAAAGGAATATTCTAAACGTTCAGAAAAATCCATTCATAATTTTTCATGTCACTTCTAGAAATGAGACATCTGTGAGGTATACAACATTCCATAGTGTGGATTAATACTTATTAGATAATTTTCGTATTTTTTTTGTTTAAATCAGTTATAAATTTGAAATATAAATTAAACGTAAACTCTACTAATTCTAATAAAATTTTATATTTTTTCAGACTCATTCCTTTAAAATTGGTATGTATTTTATTTATTAACAATAAGATATAAAGATTTTTTTAAATTAAATCTTTTCACAAATAATAATATATCTAGCCGTTCTTTTAATATCCTCTAAAATGTAGTCCACATTGTTGAAGTGAAATGTCAAGCAACTGCAAACGCTTTAAATTTCTTTTTTGCTTGAATTTAGGAAAATCTTGGTCAATAAACATGTCATTAAAGTGTACCGTAAAACTGACAAACTTAACAGAAGTATCAAATACCGACATTCGAAATATATGTATTTAACTATTAATCATACGAAACCTGAAAGTTCAGCAATTTTAAGTGAAGTATTGTACAATTTAAATTTACTTAAATACTAATTTCGAATAACAGTGTGTACAATATCGGCTTATTAAATTTTATTGCAACTAAAAGTGATTGTTGTTGCATCTCAACTGATTTTCCTTTCATAACGGGATATACACATATGTAGATAGCATGTATGAAATCGATCCATAGCTATATGCACAYACATATGAATGTATATATAAATATGTGTTTAAATTGCTGATTACGCTTATTGAACTCAATATAAACTCTCGCCACTTAATTGCACCGCAATGTAGAATTCATACTTAATTTACTGCAATTTTGCTTAAATGTGTCAGCTGTTAGTATCGCTACAGGCGGATATAACCATGAGGGCATTGTGAATGGCAGCAGCTACTTATATATTTATGTATGTAAATATTCACAGCATAATTCACTTACTAAAGTTTATTATTGTTTGTTGTTGTAGCTGCATTATTGTTATCTATTAGATGGTAGACTCA